TATATATATTATCAACTTAAAAATTAGCCTGTTATATTTGGTCAAACATTTAATTAACTCAGCCCTAGTTCCTTGGCAGGGCCAGACCAAATGATGTCGCTGGCCAGACATCCCCATCCCTGTGCCTGGCCTGGTGGAGATGAAGGGGGAGGGGAGGAGACCCCAGCAACTCATCTTCCAAACCCCAGGCTGCCTTAGACAAGGACCTGGTCTCCAAGATGCCAGGATGTGGACTGGAAGAGTCCTCAGAGATAACTGAGCCAGGGGGTCCCAACTTCCCACACATGGGATCCCCTGGAGGCTGTATAGTGTGCAGGTTCCAAGGCCCTGCCCCTAAACCCCATTGGCTAGGCCTGGGGGTGGGCCTCCAAATGGCAGGTTAAACCATTTATCCCAAGCGATTCTTATGTCAGGGGTCTGATGGTCATACACACATTGAGAGGCACAGATGTGCTCCAACCCCTGTACTCTCTCCATGTGATAGAAACTCTGGGAACCTCCCCAGGAGGTTTTTTTTTTTTTTTTTAATATATTTTATTGATTTTTTACAGAGAGGAAGGGAGAGAGATAGAGACTTAGAAACATCGATGAGAGAGAAACATCGATCAGCTGCCTCCTGCACATCTCCCACTGGGGATGTGCCCGCAACCCAGGTACATGCCCTTGACCGGAATCGAACCTGGGACCTTTCAGTCCGCAAGCCGACGCTCTATCCACTGAGCCAAACCGGTTTCGGCCCCAGGAGGTTTTGTTAAAGGCCACACAGCTGAGTAGTTGGTAGAGTCAGAATTTGAACTGAGGTCTTCAGAGCAGAAGGGAGCTTTTCCAAAGACTTGGACACATATGTGGTGAGTGGTCCAAAGACAGTTCTCCAAGAGGCATTGATTGACACTGGTTCTCATAGGGAGGAAACTGGTGCTTTTCTGGTTCTTTTTCATCCTCCTTCTGTTTTGTGTGTAGGAGTCTTTAACAGCACTCTATGTGGTACTCGCTAAGGTTCCTTTTTAACAAACTAGTAGGCAGCTAACAGTATTTTGATAACCTTGTTTTGTTTTCAATGGCAAGTGATACTGTGGTTTTGGTGTGTTTTTTTTTCATATGAAGTAGTCATAGAAAGTTTTCTTTTTCTAAAGTAATAACAAACTTGACCAATGTAACCATTTTAAATGTGCAATTTAGAGGCAGTAAGTACATTCACGATGTTGTGCAGCCGTAACCACCATCCATCTCCAGAACTTTTTCATCTTCTCCATCTTAGTCTGTCTCCATTAAACAATAACTGCTTATTCTCCTCTCCCCACCTCAGTCCCTGGCAACCACCATTCAACTTTCTGTTTCTAAGAACTTGACTATTCTAGATGCCTCAGATAAGTGGAATCATGTAGTTGTCCTTTTGTGTCTGGCTTCTTTCACTTAGCATAATACCTTCAAAGTGCCTCCATGTTGTAGCCTGGGTCAGAACTTCATTCCTTTTTATGGCTGAGTGATAGTCCAATGTATGGATAGACCACGTTTTGCTTATCTGTATATCTGTCCATGGGTACTTGAGTTGTTTCCACCTTTTGTCTACTGTGAATAGTGCTTTTATGGATATTCATGTATATGTCTGAGTCCTTGCCTTCAACTCTAGAAAGTTTTCTTTCTTTTTTTAGTATATATGTTTTATTGATATCAGAGCAGAAGGGAGAGGGAGAGAGAAATAGAAACATCAATGATGAGAGAGAATCATTGATTGGCCGCCTCCTGCATGCCCCACACTGGGTATGGAGCCTGTGACCCGGGCTTGTGCCCCAACCGGGAATCAAACACAGACCCCCTGGTTCATAGGTTGACGCTCAGCCACTGAGCT